GGAAATGCAAAAAGAGAGTAAGGAAGAGGAACTCAAAAGAATTGAGAGAATGGGTGTAGAAGAGGCCGAAAAAGAGGACAGTAAATGTATATGCCTTGATATCCCTTATATTACATCAGAGGAAGAAAAAGATTCACAGGAGAAATACAATGACAAGTTGTTACCTGAAGGAGAGCTTCAGAATTCTCTAGGGAAAGATAAGGTACAAGGAAGTCCACTTAAAATACTTTTCAGGAAATTTTCCACAAGAAGGCAGCGAGAAAGTAAAGCTGCAGAAAAGGTGATTGAGGCAGAGGAACAAGTCTCTGAACAGCCGAAACCATCCTCGGAATTGACAGAGCTCGCAAAAGTGGAGGAACCAGTGGTTGGGGACCCAAAACCTGCTGAAGAGGAGCTGGTGGCTGATGTAAGCCCTCAAGAGTCCAAAAAGAAATCTGACACCACCGTTTCCTGGGAGGCACTGATTTGTGGTGGTTCTGCTAAAAAAAGAGCTAGAAAAACAAATGAGGATGAAACGCCAGACAAAGGAGAGGAATATGAGAAAGCAACTGACTCTCCACTGGGAAGTTCCATTGAGGGCGATTATGATCATCTCACATCATCTAATGAACAAACTGGAAGTCCTGCAGAGGGAGAGATGGGATCCACATGGAAAATGTTTAAAAAAATGGTCACCCCGAAGAGAAATGTCAGAACTGGAGAAAGTAGTACCCCTGAGCAGATACCTTCAGACAGTGAGATGAACAAAGACGAACCATTTTCTAGGAAGAAACTCATTCCAGGGCATAAAAAGAGAAAATCAGATGAAAGGAAAGACCAGACATCCTCCGATGAGCCTGCAAAGGATCATGAAACAGGTGATGAAGATGATGAAACCCCAGCTATTATTCCTCTGTCTGAGTATGAAATAATTGAGCCTGAAAGTCTGAAGGAGGTGCATGAGCAACGAGTTGAAATCACAATAGAACATGAGATGCCAGAGATGACTTCACAAGTGTTAGAACAGGACACATCTAATAACTTGGTGCCCAAAATTGCAGCTAAAGTTCCAATTAACACTGGACCAACAGTCATACATGGATTATCAGAAGACTTTGAAGAATTTACAGACTTTGTGAGCAAACATCAGCAACTGAGTGATATTCCAG